TAACAAACTAAACGCATAATACTTTTCATAAAGTAAACAAATCAATGGTACAATCCAAAAACAACAGGACAAATGATAATAATATTAAAGATGTTTTAATAATAGAATGATGCCTTTTTCATAAGAATAAACAAATCAACGGTATGATCTTCATCACACTAAATAAATATTAAATGAAAAAGGAAAGATGCTTCACCACCACCAAAAAGTTATTATTAGTAGCATATATGATAAAATAAATAAATAACAAAAAACAATAATGAATTCAATTATTGAAATTAAATAGCTCTTCTTAAATGTAAAATAAACAAAATTTTTTATTCTAACCAAATATTTCTCTACAGTTGGAAAAAAATTATTATTGCACGATAAATGTTTATCACGTGGAAAAAAGATATTTACATTCATTGAACATCAAAGAAAAAGAGATTGATTTAAAATTTACCACTCAGCGAAAGCAAAAAATTCTTTCCCAAAAATTAGGTTTGAAAAACAAGATTTTTCCTGATCATTGGTTGCAATTGCAATTGTTCGCATCGCATTGCTTTCCATTTCCAATTCAATACAATGCAATTTGCCGTATGACAAAAATTTTTTTGCTAAATATGGGTAGACGTAAAAAGAGACAATCAAAAACCTGCACGAAAATCGCACGACTTATGGGTTTTGAAAGAAGATCGGAGTGACACGGAAAATGGTTTATTTTTTCTTTGCGTTAACCATATTATTATATAAAAATTCGTCATTAGTAATTTTTCTGCAGAAAGTTTCTAAATTTGCATTGGCTACACCGAAATTTCCTTTTCCATTAACATATTTGCTATATATAATTTTTCTAAATTTGGCTTTTACAATCATTTTTTTTTATTTAAAGCGTATCTACACTGTATTTAGCAGTAGATTGTGTAAACAGTAATAGTAACAATAAACATGAACACGAACAATCTTTTACATTTTTGTGTCGTAATATTGCATTATAAAAATAAAATTTTTCCATTAAAATATACCAAAAATTTTCTATCATTAAAATTCATCTTTATTAAAAACTATTATTTATAAATGATAGGAATGATTAGCTGTATCCCTGCTAAAAATGCAAATACTGCTGCAGCTATCCTGTCCTTAATTTCATTCTTGAGTCTCCTTTTATTGAACTTTGGGACACCAACTATCGAGTCAATTTATATTGCGAGCGTTGAAGTGAGTAGTGGTAATCTAAAGGGCCAAAAAATTATATTTGGATTATATGGCGCTTGCCTACAAGCTACCATGATGGACACTAAATCTAGATGCACGAATAGCAATGATGGTCTTGATAGTGACTATATCATTTCAAATACCCGTACAAAATTTTTGTTGTCTATGCATGCTGTTGGTAATGTACTTTTTTACTTATTAATTATGCCAATAAAATGTGAAAATATTATAAATTAATTATTGTTATTGTTTGAATATATTTTTAGGTGTAGTAACATCATTCATATTGTTTTGCATGGGCTTGTATACTCGCCATGGTCAAACTATATATAAAAGAGTGACATGGATATTCGCATTATTCAGTTCTTTTATCATTTTGTTAGCAATGGGAGGACAAATTGACCTTTATTTACAAGTCAAAAACGACATCCCAATTCATGGAATATCTGCAACACTTGGAGCTAGTGGATTTCTTCTTGTGGTTGTACCTCTCATATTGTCAATCTTGTCAATCTTTATATTTTACATCGGAGAACACGCTGTAACTAAAGAAGGCGGCATTCCAACTATAGGCACAGAAATGTCCATTCAGCGAAACGTTCCTTAATTTCCTCAACCTTATTCAAACGCCATCAACCAACAATTTATTATTTAATTTAATTTTTTAATTTTTTCAATCCAATTTTCTTGAAAATAATTCAGAGTTAATTAGAATTAGTTTAATAATTTTAATAACACTATACAAACTTATATATGGGTGCAGAACTCATTGGCTAATTTAAACTTCTCACAACTTAAAATTGATATATATATATATATATGTATATATTAATATTTGAATTTTGACACAGCCAAATTTTATTCAAAAAAAATTCTACCAGTAATCAACATCAGAGCTTTTGAAATTACTATTTTAAAGCAAGGTGTGACTTTTTATATTATTAAACTTACCCCGGGACAATCTGGTAGACAATCTATACAGAATATATTAATATATATATATATATATATATAACTTGGACTATGTTAAAATAAATGGATCAGCAGTAAAAGATTATAGAGCTCAAAGTTATAAACTTTACAATTTTCATCATTTATTTAATCACAAGTTTGGTACAACAGTTCCATTACTTCAATAAAAAGTTATTTCCTATATTTTTTTAATTTTAGTGATACCAATAGTTCTAAAAAATATATTTAATTTCACAAAAAAAAAAAAGGAAATGTATAGTTATTGAATAAATTGATTTAGACAATTGACTTTTGGGATAATGTATGATAGATCATTTGACATTCTTATTGATTTGTTTCCTTCGTGTACCATTGAATATAATAATACATTATCAGAGGGTGAATGTATGGCCCTTCTAACGTGTGTTCTATTATCTAATAAATTCAAAAGGTTGTGTGTGTGTGTGTGTAATAAAAATTTTCCTTCCTTCAGCTCTGGCCTAATAAGATAAATAAATATTTTTGGCTCTGATTTTAAAAAAGTAATTAGTTAAAGAAAACTCACGGATTGATTTTGATTATGAAAAGCTCCATGGTCAGCTAAACAAAAATTGCAATATATAAGAGCTTTAGTAATAAATAATTAGTTTTGATCCAACAAAAATCCTTTAAGATAAATTTTAGGAAAAAAGGTCAATTCACCATCGAATACTAACAACTAACAAGAATATCAGAAATAGAAAAAAGAGACAATTTCAAAAGAAATTATCAACTATATTTTGAAATATACAAACTTTCAAAGTGAAAGTACAAAAAATAAAAACAAAACAATAAAATCGATGGTATCAGCGACATAATAATATCTAATATTAACAATGAATGGGGAAAAGGACTTGATCAAAAAGGGAAATTTCATATGAAATGGGATCTATATATACAACTATTACCATATCCACCGATTTGTGCAACATTTTGGGCTACAAAATTTTGAATGACAAATTTAAGGGATCATCTTTTATAAAATTTAAAATTATCACCATTACTTATATATAGCAAAAGAAAATAAATATATATTAATTGATTTGGATTTATTTTTAGTTTTAACTAATTTCTTGCATGGGATTAGCTGTCTATTTACCCACTTATAAAATTCTATCAATATATAAATAGTTAGTATTGTTATCATGAAAAAATTTATTCAAAAAAAAGGAATAAATATGAATTCAAGTACTGGTGTAGCAGAATTTCTGCATTTAATAACACAATCAATAGTTATTTAATACGAATTGATAAATATTTATTAGGGCAGAAAAATTAATAATGAGACATTAGTTAACAATCATTTCTATACTTGATATTTTTTAGATTACTTACTTTGATACAGAGTAAAGAATTTGTTCAATTTTCACATTTAAACAAACTAGAATAAAATATTTAAAATTTTCTTTTTTCTTTTTAGCTTGATCAGACATTACTTTAGTAACTTGCGTAAATATTACAAATTTACTGGAAAAAACTTTTTCGAATAATAAAGGACAGACACCCTTGACCATGATACAAGAAAATTGATAAAGTCATTTACGCAGATTTACGCTTTTGTGTGAATAAACTCTTCCATATGCTTTCGTTTCTCCCATTACAAACTGATTTTGTGATGATGGAGTGTGAAACCATTCGGGAGATAACAAGTAGTAATGTGTTTGTAGCGTTGGAAGTTTTGGAGGGAGAAAAAGAAGGAAGATTTTTGGTAGTCTTGTTATTAGTAGTATTTGTGTTGGTAGAGGGAGAAGACATAAGTATTGTCGGAGGAAGAGGTTTTATTCATTATTAGTATTAGTATTAGTGGGATTAAGAGGTGTAGATTTTGTTGAAATTGGGCAATTTAAAAAAAATAAAATTTTTAAATTGGAATGTAACGACACGTTTAAAAGTATTGAGGTCTAGCTAGTTTTATTTAGATTTTCACCTATCCGTGGGCATTTTAGATTCAGCAGACTTGTCCTGAGAGCTTTAAAAACATCCATGAGTTAAATTTAATTGGAAAAATTTGATTATTATTATTTTGTTTTTTTGAAGATTATATAAACCTGAAAGTTAAAATATCAAGACAAATATTATCAAGAAATTCTTTCAAAGTTAATAATCACTTCAACAATTGTTTTGGCTCGGGAAATTCAGGAGATTCTCTTACATGGTTAGCTCTTTTACAGGTTAAAAATATCCGTGACCTTTTCCTGCATGATCCAATCATTATATTATAAAAACTTAAAACAAGGATAAAAACACCACAACATACTTCTATTGATATTATTTTTATCAGCTTGGTCATTAATGAGGTAGAGGCAATATAATATATATATTATTATAAGACATAAATAATTAATGATTTGCTATCTATAATATGTAATAGTTGATAGTATTATTATAAACTTGGTTTATTTAATAAATTAAATTTTTATAAAACTGTTTTTTTGCAAATTTCTCCAAAACTTATTAACCATCATTCTCACAAAGTAACAACCATATAAAAATAAAATTTTTTTTGAGCATCATAAGCGAGGGTTTGTATAGAGAACACCTTTCGACATGAAAATTATCCATCGAATAGCTTTAATGGGTAATTTCTCTTCGTTTTAATAATAAATAATTTATTATAAAAGAAAAAACTGATCGGAAACACGGGTTTGAATTTTTTTTCTATTACTATTTAAGAAGTAACGTATTTAATAAAATAATAAAAATATGTACAATAATCCTGTAAAATTTATCAATGTAAAGAATTCTTTGTAAATAAAAAATACAAATAATTTTTATATTTATGTTAAGTAGAATCACCACCACCATCATCATCCTTAGTTTAAACGGTCCTCCTCTGCCACAATTCCCATTGCTTTGGGAATAGGTATTCATTACACTGTAGTTCTAATAATCTAACAGCAAGATAATTAATCTAATTAATTAAATATTTAGACATTGATAAATTATTGATAGATTCTTTATAAATATTTTTAGGAGTTAAAATCTTTTGCTGGTATAAGGCGAATTCAATACCAGTTTTTAATGAGTTAAAACTATAGTTGTTACTGATTTCTATTGATTTGGACGTAATAGAATCTAAACGTCTACTATTGTGATAAGCATCAGGGTGTGGTTTCAATAACGCAACAGAAGGATGAAGGAGTTTGTCACTGTCACCGCGATCATATACTTGTTTTAGTAGTGATTTGCCGAATTTCAACAATGTAATAACTGATGGCCGCATATTAGGATCAGGATTCCAGCATCGTTGCATCATTTCTGAATATTCGTCTGGCATCCCTGATAGAATAGGAGGTCTTAATCCGTCACAAATATCCAATATCAATACATGATTATGAGCCCGGTCACTAAATGGTGGAAACCCAGCAAAAATCTCCCACATTAACATACCAATGCTGTAAATGTCGGATGCCTTGCTGTTATTTTCCTTCCCCATTAGCACCTCCGGAGCAATATATGAGATAATTCCGTATATTTTATTAGAATAATACTTGTTGATGTTATCTGCATTTTTAAGGGACCTACACAGACCTAAGTCTGAGATGTAGCAGTTCCCTGATTTTTGAACTAGGATATTACCACTGTGCAAATCACAGTGGATCATATCCTTTTCGTGGATATCATCCAATGAATCAACGATATCATAAAAAATGCGGAAACGATTTTTGAGTGACAGTGAATTATTCTTCCTCCTTAAATAATCCCTCAAACATCCATTGCTGATATAGTTAAGCACCAGAACATATTGCTCGGTTTTAGGACATTGTGATATCCCATAACACTCTGCAATCATCTCCGACTTTAACTTTGCATAATTCAGTGCCTCTCCCAAAAATCTTTCGGTGGGGTTGCCCATCCGATTCGATTCGCTCAAAAATTTTAAAATTACCTGTTGAGCTCCATAATATCGAAACTCTTCCTTCTCTTGATCCCAATCGTTTATACACCCACGTTTATAGATGCACGTGTAAATGTTGCTGAATCCACCATTGGTGAGATACACAATATCTTTGAATTCGCTGAAAGGAATCCATTCTAAGATATTGCGAGGCAACGAAGAATGGAGTTGACAAGATTGCAAAAAATTGTCAATGGATTTATTTCCTGATGTCCAACTTCCAAATAAGCCCTTCAAGTGATTCCCAATACATCGCTCGCAATATCTGGTGGAATAACGTATCATTTTGCATTTATGACACATATGTGGTTCACCACAACTATATAGCGCGTCGTTTAATGCAAAGTTATATAGATACTGATCTATACAATATTGCTTTTCTTCTGCACTTAACTCCTTGTTCTTGCTTATCAATGCTATATGTTGTGCATTAGATGCACGGTTAGTTGACATTGCAAAAACACGGTCATAGCACTCTCTATGAATTTTGTCGACTTCTACTTTTCTTTTGGCATCCATTTTATTCATGTAAAATAATTTTACATTTGAAAAAAGAAAAGAATTTTTTTAAAGACGTGTTTTTAAATCATTATATATAAGTCACAAGATTACTATTTATAAAACTTAAATTAATTTTTTGTAATTTTAAATTTTAAATGAAAATGTTTTTTATAGAAATCTATAATGGTCTTTAAAAATTAAATGTTAGTATAAATATTCCTTTTTAATAAATAATTAAACAAATAAATGATACATGTAAACATTTTGTAGAATAGCGGGCATTTGTAATAATTTTTATACAAAAAAGAAAATTCGACAAAATTTAGTACTACATAATAATTAAAGAAATACTGAGAAAAGGATGGATAATTTTTTAATGAATTCTTGCTTGTATTTTGTTAACCCAGTATTTAAGCAATTATAAAAAATGCACAAGTAAATATTGGAATTTATCTTATTTGAGGTGTGGACAATAGAAACTATTAATTTAATGATAATTATAGAATAACTAACTACTGAAATTCTTTTAACGTCCATGCATATATAATATTGAACCAAATGAAATGACAGAAAAGAATAAAAGATCCAATTAGTAAATATTTTTGAAAATACACATAATAGTAATAATATAAATAGAATTTATGTTTATTTATATATATTTTAAAATTTTTAGCTCTCATTGGGATTTTTAACCAAAGTAAATCTTCCAACGAAAGGTATATTTTTGTGAAATATTTTTTTGTTTGTTTTACAATGATTTTTTTTTCTAAATGAATTCAAACCTTGTCTTTTGAATTTGTAACTTGTGGCAAATTCAAAATGTCCGATATTAATATTAATATGGGAAACATTGTATAGCAATAGTAATACAAATTTACGCTATCTGTTACTATTGCTATTATTATATTAATATATAGAAAGATCCTAATGTGTAGTGTGACAATAAAGCTTCATCTTCATCATTAACCTTCTCGGCCTCTTAACATTTTGGTTTTGATAGAGAACATTCGTCAATGCTAACTAAAAGTAGTTTCGCTTTACTTTTAATATAGTTGGCTCTGTCTAAAGGCCTCCTAAATTTTGTGCAAATTTTAAAAGTATAGAAGTCATTTTCTGTCTTACCTTTTAAAAAATAGCCTTATTAGTTGATAGAATAGGTCTTTAATTTTAGTGTAATAGTGAGATTTTCTCAAAAAATTTCTTTGTTGTGGAGTTCTATTCTTTTTAAAACTATGTTCATGAGGAGTTTGAACTCTATAACTGTTGCTAAATTTAGAATAATACTCGAAATCGTTATCTAAATTCGGCAGGATGGAAAATAATTTTTTTAACGCGATGACCTTTTTTTTGAAAAATTTTATCGCATTTTTTGAATCACGAAATCGCAATTTTTTAAATTTGAGCGCGTGGCGCAGTGATAGGAGTCTTTAGACCAAGCCAACCATAATTAATTACAGAGAGCGCTCGGTAACACAAATTTGATTTATTGCATTAAAAAAAGTAAATTATTGATATCATTTATCATTTATCATTTAATATTTATAATGGAATATTCTATAAAATAAACTTTTTTCACTAACACTGATGATTCATTTTTGTTGACCTGTTTGTGTAACATTATTTGAGAATCATATTGGTACGGTGAAGATCATCTATAATCATTAATTGCTTATAGTAACAATTGCTCAACTTCAAAATATTAAAACAAAAAAAAATTATATCATTTTAAAAATTTAACCGATAAGTTTTATTGTTCATGACTCAAGCTTCAAAACTTATCGGCTGGTTTTTTTCTTAAACCGAAAATTGGCTGAGCCTTAGCATTTTGAAAATTCCGAATTTTGTTATACTCTTAAGAAATTGAGACTAAGTAAATTTCGTGTAACAACTTTTTTTTCATAGAATATTTTCTACAACATACATTTGAT